CTTAAGCACACCAGCTAACTCCTTACCCTGCTCCGTCTCGCTGACCAGCTTGGAGAGCTTGGATCTGATGATTGGAGTGGCTGCCATGGAAAGGAACAGAATCCCATAACCTGTGAGCAAGATACAGCACATCAGGGAAAGCTCAGCTGAAAAATAAAGTCTCCAAAGTCAGTCCCAGAAATCTGTAGCTGCAGGCAGTTTCTCCCTGCTGTATTTAGACTCAATTCAGCCTCCTAGATCCTATAATCCACTCTAGCCTGTGTCTGCACTGTAATACAGATCTGGGAAACCTAACATTCTAGGAAATATGGATGCATGTTCAACTTTAGTGTTTGGCCAACACTGCCATTGGCAAGACACAGCTTTGTTGGTGCACAGGGTGAAATGGAGGCAGAACTTCCTCCATGTGCTCGAGCTCTCAGAAGCACAGTGCCCTCCTGCATCTACTGGCATCTCTGCGCTAAGCCGGAAATATAAGGATTTAAGAATTTAGCATCACCTGTAAACATCAGTGCTGTTGTGGTAGCGAGAGAAATCACAACCAGTCCGGCAATGTTTGAGATCAGTGCTATCTCTGCCACCCAGCTGTCTTCAAGGCAGAGCTGCAGCAGCCGCAGCCCTCCCAGGCTGCTCAGGTAAGCCAGGTAGTTGGCGGCAGAGCCGTACCCGATGAGGTCAGAAGCCCAGCAGAGAGGAAAGCCAAGCTCATACAAAACAAAGAGGTCCTTGGCTCCAAAATGCACTGTGACAAGAAGGAAAAAAGCTAGAGAGTACAGAGCGAGCTTCCACCTGGAGCTCGGGTGCTCTGGGGCCATGTATAGCCTGTACACAGCCTTGTAATGGCTGAGCGTGAACAGCCTGGCCGGTCTCCTCTGCTTCACTGACTCCCGAAGGCAGAAAGCAGCATAGAGAGTGGCAGCAAGAGAGGCAGCAAAGGCCAGCCAGAAGGGGTTGATGTAGCCCTGGGCCTTGCGCCACTGGCCACCACCGATGCTGGCCAGCATGCCCGCGATGCCCAGGCACGCCTCGAGGATGGCCACCCGGAACGTCCGCGCGCGCCTGTCGCTGGTCTCGGCCACGTAGGCAAAGCAGCTGGCCAGGACCAGGTTGTAGTCTCCTGTCAGGCCACTCAGAAGGCGTCCCAGGAGCAAGTAGGCGACGTGCAGCTCCAGGTACATGACCAGCAGGTAGATGGCCGTTTGCAGGGCTATGCCCGCTGTCGACAGGATGAGCGCTGGACGGCGGCCCACACTGTCGCTCCATGGTCCAAAGAGAGTCACGGAGAAGAGACAGACAAAGAAGCCCCCCAGGTTGATGTAGAGGTTCCAATGGGAGACCAGGGCTTCCACCTCCTGCAAGAGAAACAGGCGGCTCAGGACTCTCAACAGCACCCAGTCCCACCCTGGGCTCTCCACTCCCCCGTTCTCCCCAAGCTGCCCTTCCCCTCCGGGCTCTCTGACCCCCTTGGGGCTCCACTGTCTCCCCGGACACCCCACTCCTCCCGAGATCCCCTCTTCCCCTGCTCCTCCCCACTCCCATGGGCTCTCTGCACCCCCAGGGCTCCCCTCGGACCCCCTGCTCCTTTTGGGCTCCTGGTTTATCCACTCGCCCGGAGTCCCCTCTTTCCCCGGAGCTCCCCGCTCCCCCGGACTCCCCTTTTCCCCGGGGCTTCCCCGGGGCACTCCGCTCCCCCTGGGTGTCCCCTCTCCCGCCGACTCCCCATTTATCCCCTGGAGCTCCCCTTTCCCCCGCTCCCCTTCCCTGTTCCTCCCTGGTCCCCCAGGGCTCCCTGAGGACTCCCTTGTCCCCTCTCCCCCGGTGCCCCCTCACCTGCCGCAGCGGGTCGGCGACAGCGCTGCTGTTCCCGCAGCCGGCGGAGCCGCTGCTGTTGTGGCCGTGGTAGCCGCGCTCGGCGCCCAGCCGGTCCCACAGGTACTGGGTGGTGAGCGGGCCCTGCAGCACCACGGACACGGTGGACAGGAACACCAGCGGCTCGGCCGCGGGCAGCAGCCTCAGGCGAAGGCGGCGGCGGTCGGGGGGCGCCGGGGGGGCGCCGGGCGGCAGCGGCTCGGCCATGGCGGCCATGGCGGGGCGGGAGCAGCGCGGCCCGGCCGGGCCGGAACAGGCTCCGCTCCGCCCGGGCCGGGCCCCTCCGCTCCGCCCCGCCGCCCGCGGGAACCGGGAGGATTCAGCGAGTCCCCGGGATCCCTCGGTGTTGCCGCTGCAGCGAGTCCGGTGATAAAGAAGCAGCGCTCAGCTCCCCCCCATCTTCCCCCCCTCGCCGCGTGTTGTTTCATAGAATTGTTGAGGTGGGAAAAGCCCTCTGAGATCATCGGGACCGACGTTAACCCATCATGGCCAAGGCTACCGCTAAACCATGTCCCCAAGTGCCATATCCACACTCTTAAATCCCTCTAGGGATGGTAACTCCGCTGCTGCCCTGGGCAGCCTCTGCCAGGGCTGGACAACCCTTTCCATGGAGTAATTTTCCCGCATATCCAATCTAAATCCCCATGGCATGGCTTCATGCCACTCCCTCAAGTCCTGTTGCTGGTCACCAGAGAGGAGAGAACAGTCCCTGCCCCTCCTCTGCCCCTCATGAGGAACCTGCAGACCGTGATGAGGCTCCCCTTGGTCTCCTCCAGGCTGAACAAAATGAGTGACCTCAGCCACTCCTTGTTCAGCTTCCCCTCTAACCCTGATAAAGTCCCCCCTGAGCCTCCTTTTCTCCAGGCTGAGCCCCTCCAGCTCCCTCAGCCGCTCCTCATCAGACTTGTGCTCCAGACCCTTCCCCAGCTCCGTTCCCTTCTCTGGACATGCTCCAGCGCCTCAATGCCTCTCTTGTTGTGAGGGGCCCAAAACTGAACCCAGGACTCAAGGTCTGGCCTCAGCAGTGGCCAGCACTGCCCTAGTCTTGCTGGCCACACTATTGCTGCTACAAGCCAGGTTGCCCTTGGCCACCTGAGCACACTGGGCTCAAGTTCAGCTGTCAGCCAGCACCCCCAGGTCCTTTTCTACTGGGCTGCTCTCCAGCCTGATGGCTGAAGAAATTTAAACGTAAACCCTGTTTTTTCTTCTCTCCAAACAAAGCAAAAGTCAGCATTTTAAATGCAGTCGGATCTGTGAGATGTCGTTAGCAATATGTGATCACTTATATTAATTCACAGCACATTAGAAAACACTTCTTTTTGTAAAGGACAAAATAACTTATAAGCTCAGTTAATAAAAGAAGCTTTGCCTGTGCTATTTGGTTTCCTGTGAGGTCTGTCTCAAAGAGCAGATCAGTGAGCAAAGACCAAGTTGCTGTTAGAATTCAAAGCACGCGATTCAGAGTGTTAGATTAACCCGTTTATATAAACTGTTCCAAACTAATGTAAATTGGCATTGCTCCTTTGACAACTCCAAGGGACTGTCAATGGGCCACAAGCAAAGCTCAAACAAGACAAACCGTAACACACTTACAGAGCTCATTTCTAGCATCTTTGCAGGTATTGTGACTCACATGCCAGAGGAAACGATGGCTGAGGATGTGTTGCTTCTGAAGAACAGGCACAATTCATCAGCTGAGACCCTTCCATGTTGTTATTTACACTCCACAGATGAGGCTGCAGTTGGAGGCCGACCTTCATGTTACAGAGATGCAAAAACTATGTGTTCTTTTAGATTTTCATTGCAACCTTAGGGCATTAGAGTAAAACGTAGAAAAAAAATACCTTGCTGTTGGCTGATTTTGCCACTACACCTTTTCAGACACTAATTAAACATTAAATGGATACAAAAATGTGGGGGAATATAATTCATTTGAAAGCTCTTTCTCATTCTTTTTGTACTGAGGGTGAAATGCTAAAGCTCTGTTTGTTGTGAGCAGTATGTCCAAGTCGAGCTTGCAGCTCTGGCAACTGAAACCCCACTGGTTTTCCATCATAAGCACATTGCTGAAAGAAAACAAGCCCTGGCAGAAAAGGGAGAGAGAAACAGCAGAAGCTTTTTGTGGAGCCGACATCAGATGACCTAATGTCTGTGCTTCCCTTTTTGTGTCTCTGCTTGAGTAAGCTATAAACAGTGCCAAGACAATTTATACCAATAAAATGGAAATGTTATAATCTTTATATGAGGCATGCGCTTGTATGATCTACCAAATAAAGCCATCAAAGTGACATTAACGAGGCACATCAAAAAGTTTGGTTCCATTCCTGTGTATTTACAGATTCAAGTAATTCACAGCTTGTATTTTGGAGGTTTCCCGCCACTGGGACAAGAATTGCTGGTTATTTCCCTGTAGTGCCTTTTTTTTTTTTTCTTTTTTTTGCCCCCAGTACATCTTCCAGGTTCCCAAAGCTGTGCCTATAAACCTACAAGAGCTGAAAGGTGAAACAAAAAAGCTCAGTGTCTGCAAAGTGATGCCCTGTGGCCAAGTCTTTCCCAGTCCACTAAGATCCAGGGTAAGGACTGTCAGTCCCTGCGTGCCAGGAACTTGATGTGGCACCTGGTGACAGGAGCTCTGCCCAGTGGATTATGCTACCCAGATTGAATTTCTTAGTGAACACAATGATGTTTATATAACATTTTGCATCGTTGTTTCTAATGCCTGTATTTGATTATTAGAGATGCAGATATGGTTTTCAGTGCTCTGTATATTTTTAAAGCAATTTTCAACCCATTTTGGAGGGAGCAGTTTCCCTTTTTTTATAGGAGGAATGACAGTACCTATTCAAAGATTATATTATTAAAGACAAAACCATTAATATTTAAAAAAAATTAGGTACTTTCAGTTTGCTTTTAATAAATTTACTTGGTCTACAAGGAGTTAATACTGTCCTGAACTGTCCACCTTTCAGGAAGATTTCTTAAGAAAGTTCCTGGTCTGACACTCTTTTGCTGTCTCCTCCCTTCTTTGTTCCCTTCCTTCTTTCTCCGATTACAGTTCCAAAATCAACACCCAATCTCCTGAGGTCAATGGTTAATATTCCCCAGTGTTTATAAAGTCTCCAGCAGCAGATCCCAGGCCTTCAGCACTGGGCTAGCTCCAGCACCATGGCTGGCATCTTGGAGGTGATCCTGGCCTACAAGAAATACCTCATCATAATTTCAGTACCCCTTCTCGCTCTTCCTCTTCCTCTGGTGGTGCCTACCAAGGTAAGGATTTTTTAAGTTCAATTTAAAAGCCAAATCTCTGCATCTCAGAGCTGCTCCTTGTAAGTGACAGAGTGAACAGACCACACATTCTTTCTCAGAGAACCTTCATTTATTGCTTGAAGATCTCTTTTGTTTGTTTTCTGATCAGACACCTACAGATAGTGGGGCAGTATAAAAGCAATGATGGATGAACAGATACATCTGTGATTGCATCTTCTAAAAGAACACTCAGTGACGTGATTTATGACTTTTGCTTTGTATCTGACTGATTTAGCAAAGGACTTTCTATGCTGAAGTTTCACACTTAGGTGTGAACCTAAGTTCCAATCTAAGGTTCAATTTAAACACTCTTCTGATTTTCTAACAGTATCCAGTCCACATCTTCTTTTTCCTTGTTGTCACTGACATGCAGAAGAGGCATTTTCCTTGGTCAGAGGGACAAGGCATTTTGACACATAAGGAAAAATACTATGTATTTCACTCTTGGTTTAGCATATTTCTGTAAGAGTCTTCCCAAACAAGGATTTTAAATTTAAAATGAAGTTTTAAAGACACCTGCTTAGGGTACCTTCAGAAAAAGTTAACTACAAGCAGCTGTAGTAGTGGGGCATTGATAATTTTGATCCCTGATCTGGGACATTGACCACTGATCATTTAAACAGAGCTCTGTGAGCCAACAGCCTGCCAGCCTTCTGCTGCTTCTTCACTCTGGCATCTTTCTCACACTCTCAGTCTCTTCATGCAGAAATGTCTCATCTCTGGACTTCAGGTCTCTTATTACAGCCCCAGGATCTTGAAATAACTCGTCCTGATCTACCTCTCCTGTCACAGCTCTTTGGACGTCCAGTCATAACTCTTTCCTCTGCTCTCTGCCTGTGCCTGTCTCCTGATCCCTGCTGACTCCCAGTTTAGAGTCTCCATCTCCAGGCTTCCTTCTGCACTTCACTAACTCTTCCCTGCCTGTCCCAAAGCTCTTTCTTCCTCACAGCTCTGAGTGTTATCGGAGACTTTGGAGCTCTGACCTGAGGATTGTGAGCGTGAATGATAGAGTGGCACTGGCTGGAGGTGCAATGTGGTAACTGTTCAGGCGTGGCACCTTCCTCTCTCACTATGCAAATAAAATAGTTTAAATTATTACTTAAAAGCTTACTAGAAGGAAAAACAGAAAAAGTACCTTTTTGCTAGTCAACTTTTCGTAGTCAAAAGAGTTACTGAAGGGAAAAGATATCTGGATCAGAAGAGTTCTAAGAAGCCAGAGAAAAAATAATTTTTTTTGTCTTGAGGCCACAAGTTCAAGCTCACTTGCTGGAGGCATTGTTACATACACTAAGTCCATGGTGTTACCTGTGGAATGATTTGGCAGTCTTGCCTCAGTTGCTCTGCGAAAATGACTCTCTCTGGTTTCTATGTAGTCAGCAACAACTTAGAAATTTAAAATGTCCTGGACTTTTCCCTTTGCAACCTGTAAGAAAATTTTTTGGGTTAGAATTGTGCACCGTGGCAATGCCGAGCAGGAAAAGCTGTTGCCTCCATGTGCAGCAGTGATGTGAGCAGGCAGCTCACAGGATGGAATTTCACATTTTTCTGTTCTGTTGAGCTATTTACCTGCCCTATAATGACATAGCACTGGACACCAAACTATTAAAATTGAGAGCAAACAATGCTAAAAATTTCACTTAAGGACAGACAAATGTCCTTAGAGAAAAACAGACATTGTGAAAAGCCTTTTCCCCACTTTTACCAAGAGCCCGTTCACAGCAGGATGGAAGCCAATAACACTGTGCCTGTGAGATACGTCCCAAAGCCCTGCTAGGGTCTCTCAAAAGGCACCTATTGGTGTCTTTTAAGAACAAAAATGGATAAAAAGGATCATCAAAATGAAAAATTTCTTTCAGTGCTTGATGGGATGGATAATTAAGGTTCTTGCTGCTCCCCCCTTCATCCACGTCACCAGCTCCATAGCCTCCATGCCATGTTCAGAAGTCCTGAGCGTGTTCTAAAGCATCACAAATTCAATCCTGTCAGCCGTTATCCCAGCTCCTTGTTTTAATCCTCTGTAATCCAGCTTCAATAAGCATCCCTATGATTTCATTCATACTGTCCAGTATATTTTAGCGGACATTCTTTATCTGAGGCCAAACGACCACGTTTTGCTTCCTTTGGATTTGCTGTCACCCATTATTGCGCGAGTTCCAAAACGAGGAAGACACCACAACCTGCAATATAACTTCTTCTAGTTTTCATCCCCAGCCCAACCATATGAAAATCTGTTGTGACAAGTAATTCTGAATCTGACTGTCTTAAACATTTTTATATAAAATTTGGAGGGGTTGTCCAAAGCAGAACTAAATCAATATATTCTCAGAAGGCGAGTAATATGAAATAGGGGATCATACTTTCGTCAAACAAACAAGTCAGTGAAAGCTGAAAGGACCTGTGACCAGTCTGTCAGTGAGCCTTTCAAAGCTTCTACTAAGCTAAAAATCCAATGAAAAATTGTAAAATTATTTACAGTACAAGTAATCCAGGCTATTGAGATTAGTTGGGGTTTCGCCTGTGCCATATCCTGGAACACGTGAAGCAAAAGGTGAAGAAGCCTTGACTGGATCATAATTAATTCTGCAACTCAAGGACATAAATACAGAATATAACACTATCAGCACAATCACGAATCCTGTGCAGTGACTCCCAATCCCTTATCATGAAAGGTTCAAAGTCATCCATTTGTTTCTTTTCCTAAGTTAATATTTTTTCGCCCCCTGGAGGATTCATCTTTTCCTCAGAGTTCTGTCAAGGCTATTGAACAGTTTGTCATTTGATTAAAGTCTGCATAGGTCGGAGGATACATGGAAGACAAGGACAGGAAATAACCTTTTCTCTAATCCCTTTATCAGGCAATAAATGTAATTATGGGCTGTTGCCTTCTGGAAGCCCAAGTGCCATATACAGTGTGTTCTAATCATGTCTCCTCTTCCCCTCTTGCCCCCCAGGAGGCCCAATGTGGTTATGTTATCATAGTGATGGCACTTTTCTGGTGCACAGAAGCCCTGCCATTGGCTGTCACAGCTCTCCTGCCCGTCCTGCTGTTCCCACTAATGAATATCATGGATTCAACAACAGTAAGAGATCCTACTCCATAGACATTGGCCTATGTGTTAATCAGTCATTGATAAGCTTCTTTTATTCAGGGATTATTTCCCATTATTATTATTATTATTACTATTAATATTATTCCACTGCTGTTACACAGGGAATTGGCTGCCTTCTTCATGGAATAGAACTTGCATGAGCCCACAGTGAGCTCTGGGTGGAGCTGCTAATCTGAAATAAAATTCACTGTTCAGATGCAACCCACAGTTACTCTGTTCTAATGGCTTTGGAACAACCTCCCTCAGAAAATGCCTTCTCTCTTGGCTTCTTCTGACTGTTTTCTCTCCCTTGTTCCACATTACAGGTCTGTCGGGAATATTTAAAGGACTCCAATATGCTTTTCATTGGGGGACTTCTGATGGCCATTGCCATTGAGAACTGGAACCTACACAAGCGTGTGGCCCTGAAAGTATTGCTTCTCACTGGTGTCAGACCAGCCCTGTGAGTAACAGCCATAAAAACACCATGGGATAAAGGACTTTATGTGGCATTAATCCCCATCTCTTATGTGAATCTGCAAATCACAGCCTAGAAATGCTTTCCTGCAGTCCAAGTGAGTTAGTGCCTGAGCTAACCTTGCAAATGGGGATCCCCGTGAAGTGTTACAGACCTGGTGTGCCTTTTTTGAATTCCAAATGGCTTTGGGTGGAGAAATAGCAACAAGAGAGTCAATGGTGGTAAGACACAGCTTCAGGCACTCAGGAAAGACCACAGATGAAACACAGCAAACATGGACTCTCTGCCTGCTACACTGATTGCCAAGAGAAGAGAAAACATGAGGATGCTTGTTTGCAAAACAACAAGTGTTTTCCAGACTAGAACTCCAAGCTATGCAGAAGTTACAGCACCCTATTTAATCTGTCTTAGCTCCTAACAAGAGG